AGGCCTATTATTATTATTATTATATTAATCGGTCCCGTAATCATCATGACATTCGTAACTGTGCCACGGATCTTTCATTTTTTTCTGATAGCAGGTTTGTGTATGCTTACATTGCTAGGTTACCCCAGTTCCCCGATTACCCCAGTCCTCGCCAGACTGCACTGGCTCCCTATCCCCGAGAGGATCGATTTCAAGATCCTCACCCTTGTCTTCAAATCCATCCACTCCTCCACACCCCCCTACTTCTCTGACCTCCTCTCCCCTCAAAACAGTGTCCGTTGCCTTCGTTCCTCCGGGTCTGGCCTCCTCCTTGTCCTGAGTCCTCAGCTCCACCCTCGGTGGCCGTGCTTCAGCCATTATGCCCCGAGGCTCACGAACTCCCTTCCTAACTCCCTTCGCCTCGCCCCTTCTCTTCCTACTTTCAGGTCTCTGCTGAAGACCTTTCTTTTCGACCGGGTCTTTGTTCACCTTCCTCCCCCTCCCCCTGGCTCAGCCCCGGGATCCATTACTGTGAAGCGCCCTGAGACGCCTTTCAGAGTGGAGGATGCTATATAAATCCAAGTTGTTGTTGTTGTTAGGTGTTTATCCTCTTTTACATATCCTCTAATAATCCCTCCAAAACCAAAAACAATAATAAATTGGTCATTTTCAATCTACGACTGTTTGTGGGACATTGCTGTGCGCAATTGGCTGCCGCGTTCGCCCACAAATATACAGTCAATTCACTTTAGTGTGTTCTGTGAAGCGCTTTGGGACGTCCTCACAACGTGAAAAGCGCTATATCAAATGCAAGGATTATTATTATTATTATTACATTTTCTGCATTTTCCCACATTTTCTTAATTGGCTGTACTCATCTCTCAACCGTCTTGTTGCTCTGTGGATAAGTTGTCCTGTGCTCCATCCCCAGTTCTTTGTAAATTTTCTCTCTTCGTCACTCACAAATTATGGTCCATTGTCACTTATTTTCATCTCTGGTATCCCTTGCCTCGCAAAACTCCCGCCACTGCCTCAGTCCGCTGAAACCTTCATCAGCGCATTTATTACATGCAGGCCTCGACTATGCCAACACCCTGCTTATCAGTCTTCCCAACTCTTCCCTCCACAAACTGCGGATTATCCAGAACTCTGCAGCTTGTGTCCTCTCCCGCACCAAGCTCCGTATTCTCTCCTGCACCACTGGCTCCCCATCCCTCAAAATCCTCATCCTCGCCTTCAAGGCCCTCCACGGGTTTGCTCCTTCCTACCTGTGACCTGCTGATCGCATATCAACTCGTCTGCTCCTACCGCTCAGCATGCTATGGCCTGCTCCATGTCCCCCTCCCGTCCCGCCTCACCATTGCCAGTTGGGCCTTAAGCTTCTCGGCCCCCACCCTTTGGAACTCATTTCATCTTGCTCCCTCCCAAATCCCTGACTGTCCAGTGCCTTGGGACGTGCTCCTGATGTGAAAGGTGCTATACAAATGTAATTTGTTGTAGTTTTCAGGTCATCCATTTTGTAGTAGGTTACGAAAGGCAGTACTTACTCCATCTCTTCTGATGGTTTCCTTTATTTCTTTGTATTGCTTTTTCTATTTCCCCACACATAATACACCATTTTTTTTCTGATCTTTTATCTTCTTCATTTTCTTCTCGACTTGCTGCTCTACTCAAAGTATCTGCTACATATATTCGAATTTCAAATCATATTTTTTCAGACGTGTATGCATCCGTTGCAGATTCGGAGGCATTTCTTTCAGCCGTTTCTTAAAAACTGACTAATGGCTTGTGTTCATTCTCCATTGTTATCTTCGTTCCAAACACATATTGTTTGAATTGCTCATATCCAAACATGACCGCTAAACACTCTTTTTCTATCTTTGTGTATTTCTTTTCCATCTCTGATGACGCTCGTGATGCACAGATTATTATATTCTCTCCTTTTGTTAATATCGCACCTATCCCTGTTTTGCTTGCATCTACTGATATTGTTACTGGAGCATTTATATCATAAAATTTAAAAACAGGAGCCTTTGTAATAGCTTCCTTTCTTGTTAAATGCCTGCTGCCTACTCCAATATAAATTCCTGAGCTGTATTGACCAATCCTCTATTGTTCCCATAATTTCTTTTACTTTAGGTTTGAACCGGGCTCCCCGGTTCACCCTTCCCATTAGTCTTTTTATCCCTCTCTTGTCCTGAGGTGCTGGCATCTGTGTTATCACTTCGAACCTTCTTTGGATCTATGTGTAATTACATGTCCTAGATATTTGACATCTCTGATTCCTATTTTGCAGTTTTCTTTGTTTGACTTGACATTTTCATCTAAGCACTTCTGTAGAACTCTTTCCAGACGTTTGTCACGTAAGAGAAAGGGTGAGGCGGAGGAGCTCTGGAATGGAGTTACAGAGGGTGGGAGAAGAAAAGCTAAAGGCCAATGTCAGTGCCCATCGAGCGGATGGAGGGGACAGGTTGATAAGTTTTTTTAGGTCGCAGAAGTAGGGAGGAGCAAGATGGTGGAGAGCTTTATAGGTGAGGATGAGGATTTTGAACTCGATCCTATGGGGAATGGGGAGCCAGTGTAGCGAAACGAGGATGGGGTGATGAGCTCACGGAACCTATTGTGTGAGAGGAAACGAGCTGCAGATTTCAGCATAATCTGCATCTTGTGGAGGGATGAGTTGGGAAGTCCGGTGAGCAGGGAGTTAGCCGAGTCAAGCCTAGAAGTAATGAAAGTGTGGATAAGGAATTCAGCAACCTGAAGGGAGTAGTGGCAGAGGTGGGCAATGTTGCGGAGGTGGGGGAAGGCAGAACCGGTCATGGCATGGATGTGGGGTTTAAAAGAAGGTTGAGGGTCGAGCAAGACACAAGATTGCGCACTGGCTCTGTGAGGTGTAGAGTGCATCCATGGATGGTGACTGAGATGACCTGCTAGCCTGTTTGCTCCCTCCACTTAGTACTCTGGCCTGCTCCTTGTCAACTGCCCGGCCTGCCCACCATCGGCAATTAGGCCTTCCGCCTCTTTGCTCCCACCCTTTGGAACTCCATCCCAGTCTTCTCCTCACATCCCTCTCCCCCTCCCCCCACCCCTTTCATTCTTCAAGGCCCATCTCATTCCCTCCTCTTTGGCCTTCGGTCATCCGCCTACACCCACCCTCCTGCCACTCCACCCCTCATGATCACAACCCCCAGCTCAGGTGCAAAACCAGCATCTTGGGATGACCTCCCGACATGAAAGGCGCCATACAATGTATTTTAATTGTTGGAAAATGTACTCAAGTGGGGAGGCCTCAAATGAGGTGAAGGGAGTAACTGGGGACAACCAGTGAACTGGTGAAACTGTGGTCGTTGATGTTCTTGTCAGGAGTGAAGCTATGGATCATGAGAGCAAATGGAAGTCAAAATGCGCACAGGGGAGAATGTGGCGGAGAACATGTGTCAGTCCTCGGTGAGACGTGAGAGAGACCTTGACTAATTCTTTGGAATGTGGGAAAGGATATGGACCACATGCTTTGGTGCTGTGTCCTTGCTTTGTTGAAAACATGTCTTTGATGATCTACTGGATTGGTGTTATCCTTTCCTTATGAGGGCAAAAAGCCGTTAGCACCAAATGGTCTATAAGTTCAGGAAAGTCGGTGCCTAGCGGTCCGGTTAAAGAAGATATCGTAAGGGTTTTACGAAGTTAGGTGTCAAAGTAAGACTTCCAAGGGTTGCATGATATCGAGGGGTCATTTTGGATCATGTTGGATCACATTATTGATGAATGGTAGATTGTTTGTCCACTAAATGACAGATGAACTCTCAACCCTCTGACTCGAGTACACTATTCACTCAGCCAGGCTGACACACAGAACAAGGTTTTACCATTTTCAGGAAAAAGATTAACAATCAAGAATAAGATATTTATAATAAAATTCTAATACAATAATCTTTACTTTTTATATAGCACCTTATTATGTGGAACCACCTCAAAGCACATCACAGGATTTACGGTGGAGTGTACTTTGTAAGCAAACAGTTTGCGCACAGCAATGCCCACAAACAGCCAAGAAGTCAAAATATTTAATCTAGAGGCCAGGAGTCCCATGTAATGCCATGGGATCTTTAACATCCACCTGAACAGGCAGACAAGACCTTGGTTTCACATTTCATTCAAAAGACTTGCATCAAATATAAATATAGTGGTTTAGTGGATTGACATCTCTTCAGTGCATAATGAAAGTTACATTTAAGTGCAGTACAAGTTGTATATAACCTTCAAAAGGGAAAAAAAATAGCAAAATGCTCTCAAGCAAAAACTCCAAGATGTGAATTTCATATCGAAAACAAATTATTCAACCCTCAATAGTTGAATTCCAGAGATAAAATTCCCAAGATCCCAACAGTAGAGTTGCAGCAGTATCACAAACGAAAGCAAAAAAGGATGCACTGGGGGAAAAAACATTCACCGGAAAAGTTCTGTGCGTTTTGTATCCCAATCAAAGTGATGTCTTCACATTCCTGTTTCCTTCGACAAACAAAATATTTAAAACTACTTTTAAAATCAGTTAATCTGAATGGAAGGTGTCAGCTTGGCGCAGTCGTTAGCGCCCTTGCCTCAAGAGGCAGAAAGTTGTAGGTTTAAGTTCCACATCGGGACTTTGAGCTCTTAGTCAGATAATACTTGATTTTAGTGCCAGGAGTTTTTTTTTAAACAAAACATATTTATTTGTAGATAGAATATATATTTACATTTATCTCAAAAAATAAACAAATCCCGTGACAGAATAACACGTTATTATCCCGTTACATGTTTACACAACAAAACTCCTGGAAACATCGCAATACAAAATACAATCTGGTACACTGCGGCGTCCCTGCCGGAGTTCTGTTCACTTTATCTACAGTGGAGGTGGGTGGGGGGTGCGGGTAGGGGGCAGACAGTCATACATTTTCAGGACGGTTTTGGTTACACATCAAGCGTCTCTCTGTACATTACATGGCTACACACATATTTACAGTTTTAGGTGCGCTTGTGTGATACCTGGTGAGTGTACCCTAATGTCCACCTCCCTCTGGTACAGACCCTGGCGCTTGGGGATGTGAAGCCGATGTGAGTGGGGCTAGCACAGGATCGGCTCCAGCTGGATCAGGCCCCATCTGGCCTTTACTAGGGCTGAGCTGAACTTCAGCGTGTCCCTCAGCACATAGCTTCTGATCCCAGCGGACGTGAGCCTGAGCCTCCGACACCTCATCCGGCCAGGAGACCAGACCATTATGTTTCGGGAGCCAAAGGTCCTCGTTCACCAAGCTGATGATCCTCGAGGTGCACTCGACATGGGTCTCACCACGTATCCCTGGGAAGAGCCCATACAGCACCGAGTGCCATGAAAGTGGGTCCCCACGGATGAACCACGAGAGCAGCCAGTCCATCTGTTTCCAAACTGCCTTCGCGTAACAACACTCCAGGAAGAGATGGTCCATGGTCTCCTCACCTCTGCAGCCGGCCCAAGGGCAGCGTGTTGACTGGCCCAGTTCTCGATTGTGCCTGAATGTCCTGATAGGGAGGCCCTTCTCATCGCCTGCCAGGCCGTGTCCTGATGGTTGTTGGACAGGGCCAGCGACGAGGTGTTCTGCCAGCCTGGCTGCCAGTCGCCGCAGGGTCCGCCCGATCAGGGCTACCCTCTCCCCCTTTCTGACGGTTTCCACGACCGGCTGCGCAGACTACTTGGTGATCACGCGGAGTCTGGGATGACGCAAGTCAGGAATTTCTTACAAAGGACAAGTGTTTTGGCACGCTCCAACTGGATGGAGCATTCCAAGGCAGTTCACCCTTCTCAACACCAGGTACAGGTAGAAGCCCAGCACGTAGCAGCATTTGGTGCTGGTGTAGCAAGGCTCCAGGCACAGCCTCAGGCAGCCGCTCACAAAGGTGGCCATGAAGACAGGGTCACGTCAGGGAAGCCTTTGCCACCCTTATCCAAAGTCTTGTACAGCGTTGGTTTGCAGACACGATTCATCTTGGACCCCCGATCAGGTGGAAAACTGCTCTGGTGACTCCAACGGCGCTGGTCCTGGTCAAAGGCCAGACCTGCACCACATACAACAGCACCCAGAGCCCCTCACACCTGATCACCAGCACCCAGAGCCCCTCACACCTGATCACCAGCACCCAGAGCCCCTCACACCTGATCACCAGCACCCAGAGCCCTTCACACCTGATCACCAGCACCCAGAGCCCCTCACACCTGATCACCAGCACCCAGAGCCCCTCACACCTGATCACCAGGTTTTTTCCAATGATGGACAGCAAGTGCTGCAGCCACATCCCCAGTGTCTTCCTCACTAGACCTAGACGCTCCTCCCAGATATTCTGGCTGCCCCAACTGCCCAAAACCAGGTGCAGAGGATCTTGATGTTGTCTGGCTTCACCCCAAATGGGATGCATCTGCAGTCTTGGCAGTTGCCGATGTACATCACTTCGCTTTTCTGGTGGTTGACCTTGGCACCCACCTGTTCAAAATGGTCGCAGGTGCCCACCAGCTCATGACCGATCTTTGGTCTGAGCAAAAGACGGTGACATCGTCGTCCATGTACAGGGAGGCCTTCGCTTGTGTACCGTTGCTGCCCGGGATGGTGATGCCTGTAGTGCAAGGAAAATGCATCACACACATTGTTGGAGTTGCCCATCCTTCAGATGAGACATTAAACCTGTTCAGGTAAATGTTAAAGTTCCCATGAGCCTTTTTTTTAAAAAAAGGGAGTTTCATCCACTTTCCTGGCCAACAAATCGCCAGATAAAATTGATCATTCATTTCATGCCTATTATGGAACATTCCTGTATGTAAATGGCTGCTATATTTGCAAAATACAGTCACTAAACATTGCAATAAATCCTGTGAAGAATTTTGAGACGCGTTGATGATACAATACGGTGCTGTTTCAAATGCAAGGATTATTAGTTATTGCTCATACAGATCAGATACATTTATGTAGGCAGATTACTGACGAATCTAGATCAGTATTAATATATCCTGGTCCTAAATTATCAACTGCAGTGTGAATAGTGTGTTACATTCGTCACTCTCACATCATTTCAACGCTTTCAATTTGCCAAAAAGCTCTCCCAATACCACCAATTTCAGACTGATATGGCATTTGCTTTGAATTTTTAAAGCTAGATAATGAAATAATTTCAATAAGGAATTAAATTAAGTTATATTGACTGCATCTAGTATTAGTCATAGAATATTATACAGAAGTTTAATTGAGTGCACATTAAAAAAAGACTGCCAGTGCACAGGTTATTGTCCCCCTGTGGGCATTTATTCAAACCCGAGTATAATATTTAAGACAAAATCGCATTAAGGGAAGAGTTTCACATACAAAACAGAAATGGTTACAGGAATTCTTGTGCATATTTTTCTGTTATCAGCAGAATGTTATTCATCAGTCCAGGAATGCTCAACAGCTCATCAATGTATTGGCAGGGTGGTTGACAACTATTTCCATAGGCTACTCTCTACCTCCCACGTTATGTCCAATTCATACTAATAGCTGCTGCTAGATTCACTTGCTGCACAAAGCAATAATTAACCTGATTGCAATTACGCCTGGAGGCTCTTATGGTACACACATAGTTTTATTGAATGCAATGACTTTCTTCTCAAGGTTTAAATCTCAAGCTCTTTAAACAGCTTGGAAAATGTTGAACGTTCCTGAAGTGCAACACTTTGCCCAATTGTGCTACAGGAGAGATAAGACACATATCACTATGTCATTTTGTTGTTGTATCATTACCAGTAACCCAGGAAATTGGGATGCAAACCCAAGAATATGCTTGGTTAAATTAACATTAATTTGGAAACCATACTGAAGTGGCTATATAATGCATTCTTAACTAGGGCATAATGTAGTCATTGATTTCTCAAAAAAAGCCTCTGTTTAAAATTAAAGACCGAGTACACATAAAGGTACAAGTTCAATTCCAATATTAGTGGTATGTATAGCCGCAGTTGGACAAGTAGATGTCTAACGCTTTAAAGAAAGAAAACAAACAGGCTGCTCCTTAATACCCAGCAGTGTGTTCAATTTAACGTGTTAGAAGTCTGACTGCAGATTCACTCAAGAGTCCTAGCTTCTTTCCTAAATGATGCTGGACTATAGAACAAATTTAAGATAGAGTTACGTAATTGGGAAATTGGAGTAATGAGAGATAGCTGAATAATATGACGTGCATAATGCTAAGAGATAGAATCCGAGAATATTACAGCAAAGAGGGGGGCCATTCAGTCCATAGTGCCTGTGCAGGCTCTTTGGAAGAGCTACCCAATCAGGCCAACACCCCACTCTTTCCCCTATCCTTGAATTTTTCCTTTTTGAGTACCTATCTAATTCCCCTTTGAAAGCTGTTATTGAATCTGTTTCCACTACCTTTTCAGGCAGTGTTTGCCAGATGGTAACAACTCTTTCCTCTCTTATGCTAATTATCTTAAATCTATGTCCCATGGTTACTGACCAACCCACCAATATAAACAGTTTCTCCCTAATTACTCTATCAAGACCCCTCAAAATATTCAATACCTCTATTAAATCTCCCTTTAAACTCTTCTCTAAGGAGAACAATCCCAGCTTCTCTCGTCTCTCCATAACTAAAGTGCTTTATCCTGATACCATTCTGGTAGATCTCTTCTGCACCCTCTCGAAGGCCTTGATATCCTTCCTAACGTGTGGTGCCCAGAATTGGACACAATTAGATGAGGTCTAACCAGTGACTTATAAATGTTTAGCAGAACTGCCTTGCTTTTGTACTCTATGCCTCAATTTTAAAGATCGCATATATGTTTTTAACAGTTCTATCATCCTGTCCTGCCACCTTCAAAGACCTGTGCATGTGAACTCCCAAGTCTCTGCTCCTGAACCCCTTTCAAAACTTTACCATTTAGAGTATATTTCCTCTTCTCATTCTTCCTCCCAAAATGCATCATCTCACCCTTCTCTGGATTAAACTTAATCTGCCATGTGTCTATCTATTTCACCAGTCTGTCTATGTCCTCCTGCAGTCTGCTACCATCCTCCTCACTGTTTACTATGATCCCAAGTTTTGTGTCATATTCAAGCTTTAAACGTTTGCTGTCTATACCCGAGTCCAAGTTATTTATGTATATCAAAAAGAGTACTGTGAAAATATGTTTATACAGTAAAATGTTGACTATTAAGCAGTACTTGCTGTTGGCTTGCACACCCAGTATATTCTGCTATTGCAGTACAGAAGGAAGCGACATATAATATAAAACTCTACATTAGTTTGATCACATGCTAGGAATTGATCCCAGGTCTCTCGCTTGCGAGTGCTCTCTAATCACTGAGCTACAGGACTCGTAACACATCACGTCCGAAGGATGGCACGTCCAACAATGCAATACATTCTCAGCACACCATTGGAGTGTTGCTCTGTCACGTCTCTGTTTCTTAGCAGTAAGTAAGAACCGTGTTGTTAATTAACTGGTGGATCGCTTTCCAGGTTAATAATCTTTCTAAACTAACTAACTAAATAATGTAGTCACTCAATCCACAACTGTTTGTGGGACACTGCTGTGTGCAATTGGCTGCCTTGTTTCACCCACAAAATACACACTCAATTCACTTTACAGTATATTCTGTGAAGCTCTTTGAGACATCTCAAAGATGTGATAAGGTGCTATATCAAATGTATAGATTATTATTTATAACTTTACAATAGTCATATATGATGGCTTATGCAAGTTTGACATAACTCATACTTTGCATAATTCATATGAAATATATGGTCCTTGATATGACTTGTGAATTTTACTGCAGTAACTTTGCCAGATTTTGGCTATTCATCAATTGTTTTTTTAAAATTTGATATGAGTGGAGTTGGCACCAACACCATGAGATGCAAGTTGCTAGAACAGTGGCAAAGATGTACTTTAAGGGGAATATTGCCTTTAAGACCTGGGAACATGTAAAATGTTTTCATGAAGGAAAATCAATTTCAAGTAAATCCTATCTGACCAACCTCCTAGACCTTTGAGAAGGTGATCCCAAATTTGCCATGACAGAGCATACTTTCACATCCAAAAGATGTTTTTGAAGGAGATTTTCATGCGGTACTTGAAATTGGTTGAAGGGAAGAAAGCAGAAGGTTTTTTCAGGGGAGCTAGGTCAAAATGGGGAGGTGTTAAGTGTGGTGCCTCAGGTGGTCTGTATTTGGCTCCCTCCTGTTCTTTGTATACATTAGTGACTTGGATACAGTCTAAAGTCGTTAAAATTGCAGATGATACCACGTTGGGTGAAACAACGATGACAGCAAAGGTCATGCAAGAGAACAAGTCACTACACTTCACAATAAACCCTGTGTAGCGCCTTCAGGTATTTTAACGACATGATAAAGCATGATATCAAATGCAACAATTATTATACTGATATACTACGCACATGGCTAATAATCAATACATGGAAACACAAGGTACTGCATATAGAAAGTAAGAATATGAGGAACACGTTGTACTGTATATGGGTAGGATAGAACCCATCAAGGGGAAGCTGAAAGATATCTAGGAGTGTTAGTTGACTCATTAATCACTACATCAAAAGAGCAATAAACAACCAAACAGGATACTGGGCTACATTACTAAAAGTCAGTTGAGTTAAGATGCCCAGACGTCATACTAAAATTGTGCAGTGCTCTGCTCTGTGTACAGTTCCAGTCACCACAATATAAGGGGCCTAGAGGCAGTCCAGAGGAAACAGGGTTACCTAGTGAAGGGGAGTGAACAACAACAACAAAATTACATTTGTAAGTGCCTTTCACGTCGGGAGGACATCCCAGGAGGACATAACAACTGTTAGGTAAGCTAGGCTTGAAGAGTCTTCAGTCTTGAAAAGGGATGCCATAGAGGACTTTAGAGGTACAGTATACAGTATGTTTTTTTAAATGTTCTGTGTTCTGATATGATTATCAAAATAGAAATGGTACAATGTAATACCAAGCTTTGAAATTGATAAATTTAATGTACAAGATAGGTTTTAAAGTTTATTTGTTTAGGATGTCGTGTGAGTTGATGATTAACTACTTCAAATGTTTAAAAACAAGGAAAATAGAAAGAAAAACAACTCGAAAGGAAGATAGTTTGAGTGTAAAGTTACTCTGCTTCAGAAAAACATTACATTAGATCCAGTATAGAAATATTTAATACAAATATACACCATAGATAAAGGCCATTCGGCTATAATATTGATGCTGGTTGCTTTTTTAAAAAAAAGCAATCCTTTCAGCCTCATTTACCTGCCTTTTCCCCACATCCCTATAGATTACTCCTTTTCAGATATTTATCTAGTTACCTTTTGAAAGCTAATATGGATCCTGCCTCAACCACCACTACCAGCAGGTTATTCCATATCCCAAACACTCTGCACATGAAAATATTCTAATTTTAAATTATTCTAATTTTAAAGAGCCCGATCAGGTCACCCCTCAAACTTCTTTGTTACAACGGAAAAAGTGCCAATTCCTCCATTCTCAGGCCAAACCACTCATCCCCAGTGTCATCCTAATAAATCTCCTCTGCGACCCCCCTTTTTAGCCTTGACATCCTTCCTGAAGTGGGGTGACTAAAA